TATACAGTGCTCACTGTCATTCATTTGCAGGATGGGAATGCCAGGTCGAAGGGACCCTGAAAACAAAAAAAAAAGAAGAAAAAAAAAAAAGAAAAAAGAGAAAAAAGAGAAAAAAAAGAGCGGAACCACCCTAAGCGCTATAATGAATCTTTTCACTACGAAACTTTTTAAATGTGACGTAGTATTGCAACCACGACCGCAGGGATGGGTGTGATGCAGGACTTGAGAGTACACAGGCCAGTGAATGGACTGCCTTTGCTTGGACGATCTGCGCATCTGAAAACATCAAGTTAAGAGGAAACGACCAGAACTTCTAACTACTATGCAAAGTCCTCTAAGAATTGTCAAAGAAGCAGAGGATTTTCTGTATTTCGTTCTCATTTCACGACAACCCTACTTAGGTCTTTCTTCTTGACTGACTCGCGAACAAAAATGAGCTTTGGTGAAACAATGATGAAAGACTCGCGTTGCATACAATCGGAAATTCATATCATGGTATATGAAGATTCAGCGAATTATCCAGTCTTTTGTTGTTTTGGCTCTTTAAGAAGCTTGCTCTGCCGATGGCGATTTTCGGTCTGATGTGTTCCATCTCGCCGGACTTCTCGCAATCCGATACGGGTCAGATCAGATTAATGCCTGCTATTGATGACATTATGCCAAGTTCTCATAGATCATGGTTTCAGTTGTCATTCGTGAGGTCGATCCCTTCATCAATGCCCACAGTGCACTTGCCCCCAGGCCGTGGGTTCCCTCCATTTACCTCTCAATATAGGTAATAACTTTCCGAGGCTGTTAGTATCTGTCATTTCAGGGCTGATAAGTACCTCTGTTGATATAGCGATTTCAAGGCTCGAAATCAACAACCGCCACTATAGTGCAGCGCTTTGTCAACGCCATGCATCGCAACACGCCTAGCTAGTCCCACCAGCAAGTGTCGAAATTGAACCGAAAAGACACCTTTTGAGAAGGTCTCGCTGTTCAGTTGGGTATTTCGATTGAGTGAAGAGTCATATCGATACAAATCAACAATGACATGGTCCCGTGAAGAAAAATTGGAAGCATGTTTTCCACATCCTCCACCTTCGTTCGACCTTCTACGCTTGGAAAACTTGGAAAGGAGACTAAAGAAATAACCGAGTAGCTACAGTCAAGAACTTGGCCGCGAGATAAAAAGTAACGATGTGATTGAATTTGAAGTTATCCACAAAAGGCAACAATAGTATGTACAAGTCAAAGTACCAGTACCCCTTCATAATTTTCGGCAGCACAGCCACGGGAAGGAAGCAGATAACTAACTATATAAAAGAAAAATAGAAGGTGAATGCCAGCCTACACCTGCTTGGCAACAAGCTTGGCCCAGTCAAAGGGAACCCACCTCCGGCGTGCGTTCCTCACAGTCTTTAGCAGACGGGGTAGGCAGGATTGGCTGGCGAGACATTCCCGCCATAGACAACGTTGGGTCCAGGATTGACGAAAACAGTCTCCTTGCGCTCCGTGGTGCGGCATCCATTGCCAACATTTGCAACGAACATATTGGGAAGATAGCTGATATCGCCATTGCCTCCTACAATGGTAACTGGAGCGCAGTTCATGTACATCTCGCGGTTTCCAATGAGGTTGAACCACGACCAGGCGAGAAGGACATTACCACTGGGTGCGTTCGAAGGGATTTGGAAAGAATATGAGCTGGTCAGCGGGCAACCTCCCATAATCGACTTGATGACTTTCCAGGTGGCCCCATTGTTGTAGCTGAGGGAGATCTGGCAAGACCCTCCTCCGTGGGTTGCGGAACCGGCGAGATTCAGCGTGTAGGTTCCGCCAGCGTTGTAGGTGGCGGTCGAACCGGTACTGGGGCCTTGATGATATCCCTTGCAAGGGAAGTTGGCTCCTATTAACAGGTGATGGATTAGCATCTCTATTCTTCCTTTTCGAACGGATATTTGCTAGAAGTGCTTACCATTGGCGGCGAGTGGACTAGTGTTGGAGTAGTCGATGTCCCCGGGGCCGTTGGCCGGGTTGAACTTGCTTCGGAAAGGGTAGGGCTGGCGCATTTCCATATGGGCGAAGGCCGAAGCCGCCAGGGCTGGTAAGAGGCAGATGCTAAAGCGCATGTTGAAAGTTGTTTCTGTTTGAAGGTTTGAAGGTTTAACAAGGAGTGACAGAAGGAACAGAAGGTATGGCACTGGTCAAAGTGTTGCGAGTTGTTGGATGATGGTATTCAAGCATCTCGGGACGAGAAATGGATGCTTTTATACCCAGATTTCTAGAGCTTCACAGAATGAAACCTTTCAGTCGATTCCTCGACCATTACATCAAGGCATTTGAACCGGCAATTCTCCTCATGTCTGATTGCAACCTTGATGGATGTCCACACGGACGCTCTGGTGATGTTTGGTTTCATCTTCTGAGAGGTGGTGGTGGCAGCCATGCCATCCCCTGTATTCCGAACGCCCATGCTGGGCATGAAGACATAACCCCGTGGACACTTTTGCCGGAGGCATGATCTCCGTGTCACAGAAGCGGCGCTATCTGATATGAAGGATGGATAACTAGAGATGGAGTTTGGGGTGAAGTGGAGAATCATATGCAGTACCTTGCCAAAGGTTTGAAACTTCCTCGAAAACCTAATTGGTCTGTGCTACCGCTAACCTGAGTTGTGAAAAAGGTTCAAACTTATGGCGCGGTACTGTAGCGCTTCCCCCCTTCTTTGGAGGCCCCGTTTGGAGCCGTTGATCTCCACAACACAATCTTCAGACAAAGCGCTAGGGACCCAAAACGGGCGAACGATTTGCGGGGGACAAACGTGCTGAAAACCAGGGCCGCCCCGGTAGCGCGCAAACAAGCGTGGGGAGGAGGAGGAGGCTCAAGGATGATAGATGCCTTTACCGCCACACTGGTGACAGGACAGCATGGTTTGGGAGGCCCTATTGCCCTGCTGAATTAGAACCAATATGCACAACAGGTGAAGCATCACAAGACGTGCAGGCATGTGTCTAATAAGGTTCTTACTCCATGTAGTTTCTCTGGTCTACATTAGATTTAGCGCCAAGAAGAGATTTTCACACCCTGGAGTGGTCAATCCCGGGCGCGAGTTTAGGTACAGAAGATTAGAGGATTCCCAAGATATGCTCATTATCATAATAAACCTTGTAGATAGATCATTGCACGCTCCGTGCGGCCGCATGGCGAAGGACCGTGCTATCCACTTTCCCCAGCGAGTACTACGGTGTTAGGGGTACTCGGTGTTATGGATACTACGGTAACGATCAATTCTAGAACCCCCTTGTCAGGTATATTTCCTCCAAGTACACTAATTACCTAGGTGACCTTTTCTTTCCCCCTTTTCGGACATCCTCCGAGTACAATAGTAGTTTTTTATATTTCTGATCGTTAAGATTCAACATCTTTTGTCAAGAGCCGGATGGATGAGCCGGGCCGGAGTGCTGAAGATATCTTTTTCTATACCTTGGCTCTTCCGTAGGATAGGATTTTGTGGGCTAATTACTACTAGTGAAACTACCACCTTTTAATTCAAATATCTGTCAACAAGGGAGGGTGGTATATAGGATAGGATATAGCAGGGGGTGGAGCATGATGGGTTCAAGAAGACAAAATGGGGTGGGGTCGTTTGGTCCTTTGCGGGATCATTTCAAATAATAATATATGTAGTAGTAGCAGAGAGAGATTATTCTGCAGACAAACTTTCGTAGCAATAATGGGCTTTGTTTAATTTTTTTTTTTTTTTTTTTTTTTTTTTTTTTTTTTTTTTTTTATATATTTATTATTGTGCAAGGGTAAACCTGATATAACTACTCCGTAACCGTGGCGTTTTAAGATGTTTGTTTTAAGTTGGCGCCAATTGATTGTCATCTGCAGCGGAGACCGTTCGTGGTACGGATACATGAACCATCTGCATAATCTGCACGGAATTAGCGCTGCATGGCCGTTTTTCCATGTTTCCTTTTCTTCCGGTATGCAGTTTGGCTTGCAACAGGCAAGGTATGTATATATGTTGTATGTAATGTATGTACGGCGTACATGTAATGTACCTGCATTAATGTTATCAATTCTTCAGGATTAATCATCAAGGCCACAACTTGTGGGGGTGGATTATTTATTATATTACTTATCCTCTTGTTACAGAAAAGATGAATGCCGAAAAGATACTTCAGGAGATGGGGAAGGCCCCGCAGGTAGAATTTCCCCAGGCCTATCAACGCCGTTGCCGCGCCGAACCACGGCATCTCAAACCTTATAATGATAAAGCGAAAATTCCCTACGACTTGATGTTGCAGAATTCCTTTATGCACAGTGCTACTTATTGTGCTTGGGTTTGAGTGGCTTCACATCGTGGCATATCTCCATCAGCAGACTACTTCAGAGCTGGCTCCTAACTCAACATTTTCAAATAAAGGTGTGAACGAACGTGTGACCGAGGTTGGAAATTATTAAAGCTAAATAAACCCATGTCAGTGTTTAGTCTGAGCGCTCTCAGCGCGCAGGGTTTATCTGAATAAAATAAATAATTAAGTGAATAAAGTTTAATGAAGCAACGAAAGAGCCATTCATTCATTGTGAAGATTGGGCCTATACACCTCTGATTCCGCATTGCCGTGTAGCTGTGCTGTACCTTTCCACGGAAATAAGGCCAAAGAATGCCACATGAAGAGTAGTGGTCCGCGATTTATGGATGGGGGCGGGAGGCACTGACTTCATACCAGAAAGGCTCAATAAAACCCCCCTGTATACTTGCTGGATGAAAGTGATGGTCAGCTTCAATACTGGCTGATTTCTCATGATACCAATCAACCAGATGTGTAATTATAACTGGCTGCGGTGACAATCTGCTTCCCGTATGTCGCTATGGCAAAACCCTAACAATGGGGAGAGATATGCATTCCAGTGGCCTTCAGACATTTGCTGAATGAGTCTGAATCGGCAAAAATAAGAATGACCCTAAGTAATTGTACATAAGCACAAATATAAGATATCAGAGCAAGAAAGAAAAAAAAAAAAAAAGGGGGGGGGGTCTGGTCTGGCGCAAAATTCGACAACTAGCTCGATTCATTCAAAAGTCTAGCAACGTGCTTCTAAGCTACTCTCCGAGGTCGGAACGATAACTCCGAGGAAATGGAGACCAAGCTGTTGCGGGTTGAATGACAATTTCGGGACGAATAGAGCTGGTATCTCCACTGTTACCAACGTGGCACCACATAGGAAGACTATGGAATAACGCTATGGCCGTGTAGAAGACATAATATACTGAAAGGTGTTGTCAAGGAGATGTAAGGAAGAAGGAATTGGGATGCACGTCGACACTGAATCAATTGGAGTAGTTAGTGCTCTTGAAGCTATGGCAGTTCCTTCAACTGGAAACGTATGGAGGTTTGAAGTTATCTTATAGGATCAGCGGGAAGAAGCAGCCAGGACTGACATCTTTTTGACTGGAAAAGGTTGGCTTTAGGCTCAAGGCCGAACCCCAACTTTTTCTTTGGATGTAAGCGGGATAAGTGTTGAAGAATTGAGCCTGTTTCGAGCTGGACGTATGACGTAGCACATAGGGCCATTGTACTCAACTTTGTTTACCTGTGATGGCGACTACCTGCACGCCGATTAGATAGCGGTCAGCACGCGATTCTATAGCTAATAGCTAACTACCCGCTAGCTAAGCTATGTCCACACGAAGATCAACGATGAAGACGAGATGGAAAAGCTCTGCCAAACACCGCTGCGGTTGCTCCCTTATATATCAGAACTCCGGGCTCTAGCACCTTTAATATGATCCTTGTGTAGATAGACATAGCTGCACTAAATTGCAGCTAGATCAGGAAATATTTGATGCTTGATCAACGCAGGGAGTTGGTGCGCGATGAGGGCGGCACAATGGCGGAAAGACGGTGCTGTGCTGCTGGGTGTGGCAATCCCTTACCCACCCGCCCCCACCTTGCCTCTTTTTTTTTTCTCCCACTGGACTTGTGAAGGCTTCTCCACGGGAAACTTGATTCTTGCGCATGCTTGGGCGTCCAATGTCTGCAATCCTGTCTCAAGACTGGAAGTTCAGCCAGGAGGACCATTTGATGATAGAATTGCTCCTCCTTGCACGAGGGCTTGATTTCTTAGCAAGGCCTCGCAAGATCCACATCCATGCTGGTAGTGTGGCAGACCATCACGTACCAGGCAACAGGGCAGATCTCCACCTCTTCAGGTTTCGCATCTGGCTGATACAGCGCAGAAGCTTCGCATCATCATTAGCTACGACAATACTGCCACCAAAAGCCACATTTCGTCTCGGGGGGGTGGGGGGATTCAACTCCCCTGCATCCAGCGCACGACCTGAGTTCTGCTCTTGGTAGATCTCATCATGGTCCCAAATCAACGCACAATGACCTCTTTGGAGCAGCAAGGCGGAACAATTGCTGTACTGAGATACTATTGCCATGGGGTAATAATGGCCAGCCAGCCACTGCAGATTCATGGGGGAGGGAGGCACCGGGGACGCCCAGTCGCCAACACCTTAGACAACTAGAATTCCAGCGACGAATTCATTTTCGGAGATTGTCTGTCCACAGTGCATAGGAGCTCGATAACTGATGGGAAAATAGATCAATCAAGAATGGATTGAGATCATTGTCAGCAATGTGCGGAAGAGTATCTCATATCCCAATCCAATCAATCAGTTGGGCTGACGGGAAATGGCATGAAAAAGATGACCAGAATTCCAATTTGTGCAGCTGTGGTGCAACCGCTCTATGTGAAGCTGAGGGTGACGGCACAAGACGAAGAGACAAGTGAAGTGGGAACTGCAAAGGAAAGCGAGGAGAATAGGGCGGTGGAAGAAGGATGGTCAAGCTGCGGGAAGGGAATTGGGAGTTTATATACTTGAAATCGACAGCGGCTGGGCCATATCGCGCCTTGCCCGATTAGGATTGAGTTAAGCCCTATTAGGCAATTCGCTGAACTTGAAACCCTGAACTAACTTGGCTAGACAGCCTCTAACCTTGGAACCCCCAAGTTAGGTACCTTTTTTGTACCAGGGTTCGCCCGGAGTTTCAGTTAAGGGCCTGACCCCTCCCCATGCCCCGGGGATTGCCAGCCCGGGTTTAGGCACCACGCCCCTAACCATCCCCCCGGGTCGCCTGGGAGCTAGCTCGAAGGTCAGCAGACGTAAGCTTCTGGAGCATGTGGAAGAGCATGATTGATAATAACCCTGTTAACAAAGGCAAGGTTTCTTACTCGTAATCACCGATTCTCGTATTTGTCCGGTGCTATGAAAGAAGCCGTCGGAAATTCGCACGAAACGAGGTCCGAAGTTGGTGCAAGGGGGGATATGGGCAGGCTGGTTGGCCTAAAATTCCAGCCAGGTCATTAGTGAACTGTTCTTATATGCCTGGCAAGCTGACGAGATACAGAAGCCCTATGCTATGCATTTCAAGAGACATGATCAGGACCAGTTCAGTAGTAGCCTCGTATCAGGCCCGAGCTGGAGAGCAAGCAGCAGGTCCCAAGCGAATTTCAATCCCAGGAGATATCAAGAATATCGCGCTACATGGAATGAAGATGTTTGAGTATTGCCGGGAACTCTCATCACTTTTTTTTATCCTGACCAGGCCGCATGGATCACATTTTTCGTTTAATAGGCGAACAGGCGGTCTTGCAGTTAAAAATCGAATTCTAAGCATCGAATTGTTCCTGAGCGGCGAAATATTTCCCAACCTGAACCCGACCCAAAGGAATAAAAAATTGAGAAACCACTGACTTCTCAAGTGTGTGCATTTAATATGGCTGACGTTTATGTTTCATGACTGGGCAGAACGAAGGAAGAAACTCAATACAAACAATCTAGGCAATCTAGACAACAATATCACTCCTCCGCGACCCCTCCATTTTATCCGCAGTGAGCGTATGGGGATAGATTATTCAGTCGAACATCCTGAAGTAGCTTCTAACATTTCGGGAGTCGTTCTAGAGTCATAGTTAGCTCTATTTCCGTGAACGGAGGGAAAGAAATCGGGAACATACTGCTGGAGCAACGACTATCCGTGTAATATCCACTGACATAACACGTAACTCCGTACAGGGTGATTCGATCCCAGGTGCTGCAGTCAAAATCTTTTAGTTTCCTTTCCCTTTTCCATCTGTATTACCTGCTTCTAGCTAGTTTTCGCCGCAAACTTACCAATTACCCTTGATACATTGCCCCTTCTTCTTGCAGGAGAAGGTACGTTTCTGGCCCTGGCGGAAGGCAAAGATGTTGCCCGCCTTCGTGGTCGGGCCGTACCGGCAGTTAACGTATTCGCCTTTGCGGAGATTGACAATCCTGCAGGTTTGTGCCGATCGACGCTTCTCCAGGTGCATTTCTGGCTCTGCAACGGGGTCTGCTACAGGGAAAGCTGCAGCGAGAAAGGGTAGGAACCCGAGTAGGGCCACGAGCAGGCTAAAGAACTTCATTCTTGGGAGAGATTGTCTTGTTGGGGGCGTTTTTTCTTTTTCGGTTTTTTTCGATAAAAGAAAAAAAAGAAAATGGTTTTATGGGATTCTATCGAACCACACTGTTCACTTTATAGAATCGGGGTGAAAACCAAAAAGGATTGCAACTCGTATTGAGCCTCGCCTGCCATGGGTCTGTTCGAAGGGTGCCTGACGCTGCGTTTTCATGGTTGAGTGCAGTGTAGCGCGATGGATGGTTGCATCTCGTATCCGAGTCCCAATTTAAACCCCCAGAGCACCGTCGCAAGGAATTCCTTGACCCGCTTTGCGGCTCAACTGGCTTGGGATGTGTTTCCTCGGTTTTTTTTTTTTTTTTTTTTTGGCGAAGGATAAGGGGCATTTCTCGTGCCACGAATGGTGCCAAGATGCCGGACCCTTCGGCTGGGTTTAAAGGTGAAATCTGGAGGTTCAATATGTTCATTGGGAGACGGAAGAACTGAGTGAACAGTCGTTTCGGTGTCGAGGGTACGCCAAAAAGAATTGTTATTCCTCGACAGGTCATGGAGGCGGAACATTTGAATGCAGTTAATACTTTCTCCACGAGCAGAAATGGCAGATCGGCTGCTCGTAAACCATCCCGGTACACCATAGCCACTGGGCAATGCTATCCTTTTTCGCGAGAGCAGCAGGGTAACTATCTACCAGCGACCCCGCGCTAAATTTCTTAATTTATCCGTCCTTTCCGCTCAACACCATCAAATCAAAATCATGAAATGAAACCAGACACGAACAGAGTGCACCGCACGAACCAAGTTCGGCTTCCCAGATCCCCCATCTTCGCTGGGAAACCGTCGACATTGCCCCAAGGTGCCCGCTTGGGACGGAAGGCGGTCAGTTTCCGGAGGGTTCAAAGAGTGTCAATCAAGGTGTAAAAAAAAGAGGACCGTTGAAAGAATGTGTTTGTGTGTTTGGATGCAGAAGAGAAACCGTTCCATTAGCCCGTCGCTTCTGTCTGAGGGTTCGACTTGCAAATTGTCATGGCAGAGAGCCGCCCGCATCTGTTTCAAGTCAGTCTGGCTATGAATTTACAACTGACCACGCGATTGACGGAAACAGACGCACAAGTCCAGCTCTCCATCTATGAGTCAAAGCGGACCCGTAGCACATGCAACAGTTCCTATGACGGAAAGAGCATCGTTAGCCCTGCTTGCCTCTGCGCGGGTGGGAGGTGAAGGGGTCTCCGTTGGTATTCTGCGACAGGATTAAGAGTTCTTCTGGCACATATCGAGTCTTTATCAAGAATCGGCGCCCGGCTTAATACATCAGATAGGAACCTCAAGAGAACCGTGTGTTGCCGGGATTCTTTGAAAAGACTCCCCCAATGCAGTAACTTTCTGTCTGTGCAAATTATTTATATCTATGCCTGGCTGTTGTCTGTCAGCTTCCAACGAAGAATACATGATAGGACAGAGGATTGCACATATTTATCTTTAATAATTCCTCCAGTGAATAATTTCATATGACACAGTAAATTGCGATGGTCATCTTACTGTTAAAGCACCATCATATAACAACATACAGCGTAGAGGGATTGCCCTTTCCTTCCTTTGTCGCAAAGGCCCCGTATTCGGGCAAATCCCCCATTGATTTTGAAAAGAAACTAACCTGGAATCTCAATTCGATCACATAGATCCAGAAAAAAAAAAAAAAAAAAAAAAAAAAAAAGGGAACAACAAATTCATTGATGAAGTTGTCCTCTGTTGATGCTACTTACCTCATATATCAACGAAATGTCCTACATGTTGTCGGAACGTAACGGCTGGCGTCCAGACACTCGTCGAAGGCAAGCAAGAAACTGTGTTTAATCACCTGGCGGCTGTTTGCCTTGATCGTTCTCCCAGGGCTGTGAGCAATGGGTCCCCTGTCTCCTCAAGCGTCCCCAGAAGGCTTGGTATATAGCAACAATCGCTTTGCAATAAAACGCTTCAAACAGGTGATTAACCGGAATGGCCAACCACTTTCTGCTCGCATCAAATAAACGCCCCAGAAAGAGATGGGAGGAAGTGTCAGTATGCTGTTCTAGTGATCTGGTCTTGTATGTTCGGCAACGAGTTGATAAATAATAACCTCACTGGGATTACCATCTCTCAACTGGGGGAATTTGCTGTCTCCGAACATCATAAATAGTCGTCTTCTTCTCCGGACGGTATGAAACTTCCCACAGAACTATTTCAGAGATAGCAGTTCCAACAGCAAACACGATCACGTTGCGATTCTGAGACCTGTTAAGTTTGGGTGGGCAGTGGCGGACCTCGTCCCCTTTGGCAGTGAAGAACCCAATTACTTGCCAGGGCTTGAGTGGATAAACTCGTTGCTGAGATCGATATAGAAATCTTACCCCTTTCGGTGCCTTTGCATTGGATTCCTTCTAGATGCTTCCCGGCCAAGGCCGGTCTGTCTCACTTGTCGTTCTGTACGCTGTAGTAGTTTACCGACTGATCTCGCCCTTCCCGGCCAAGCTTCAGCATCACGTCATATTTTGGAGGTTTTCCTCTGTCCTGGAGAAGGTGACGAAGCCTCGCTCTTTGTGAATGTGGGCCTATGTGGCAGAGAGATTTTGTCATATCTTGTTTAGAAGGGGAGCAAAGAAGCCTACATAGGTTTTGATGTACATATACAGTGTTAAATATTAACATCGAGGTTGAATTAGTCACATGACCATCCAAGCTTCTTTCCACAGTTCCAACTTCTACAGCCACGCGACCGGCGATAGGCCACAACAACAGCAACAAAAAGCCCGAAAAACCGCATCGCCATCATACCCATAACCCCAGTGATATCTTTGTTTCTTTACGGCTCCATCCTCATCACTAAATGGTTAGAGCGTGCGGCTTTTAACCACAAGGCTCCGGGGGTTCGACCCCCGGTGGTGGCTAACAGGAAGCAGTTGGTCTACAGCGTATGTGGAGTGAGTGCAGTGTCATTGTGCTAGCGGTGTGCTGGCAATAATGGGACGTGTTTTTTCTTTCTTTCTTTCTTTTTTACCTAGGTAGCTTCCATGTCCAGAGGGAGTCAGTGATGAGGAGGGCTAGGTAAGGACTTCCTATCCACTTGCTTTTGTTTTTGGCGTTATCTGCTCCCCTCTTTTGCAATAATATGTATCCGCTTGCGGAGAAATACATCGGAAATCGGACATTTCCCTCCACAAAGCCAGTCTGAAGCCCCAGTACCTGCAGATAAGTAAAAAAGGGGCTCGAACCCCATGGCGCCCTGCTGTCAAACGATCTTCCTAAATCGGAATCCCGTGGCTGCTGTACGGAGTAATCCGTACGGAGTACTGATCGATGGAATAATGGCAATTGTGATCTGTACGGAGAGACAATAATACAATTATTTAATTGCCTCTGCCAGGCGTTTTCAGCCCTGCACGGCACAGTAGCGAACTTCGAGTGCACCGCCACACCTGTCATAGCCCATGCGTTGGTCGGCTTACATTGGCTGACATCGGCTGCGGGATGGCTGAAAATAGCCTCTGCGGGACTACAAGTTGGTGGGAAGACGAAACCGGTGCCGTCATTTGATTTAGGGAAATCTAAGACCTGAGACTCGACTCCCGGATCTGGGGTCTGAGCATTTTTTTTGGAAAGTGGCGTCATAGTCAGTAATAATCAATATCTTGTGTCATGATATCAAAAACCACCTTTGGAAGAGCATTTGCAAACTTCAAGACCACGAGAGAAAGTACACGTACAGTACATGATGCAGTAAGTTCTCTCGGGAGGAACCTCGGTAGGGATTTTGTAATGGTTGGCCTCAATTTTAGCCTGTGAAGGGGACACACACTCATATCTATTTGTATATTTCCCATTCAGTTACTTATTTTATGGCAGAGGTAGAACAAAATGGTCTGATAAATATTACTTGATGATATTTATATTTGCAGGGACTCTGGATGTGTAAGATGTATGTACATGTACAGTACATGCACGTCAACCCGGGGTAAGCAAGACATTCTCGGTACTTCCGAGGCAGCAGCAGTGATTGTATCTGTAACTACAAAACTACAAAACTACGTCGTTGTAAACACCGCCAGGGATTAGCCGCGCATTGCTCAGCCTCACCACCACCACCTCCGATCACCACCACCACCACCACCGCCATTATTATACTCCGATAATCGTCACCATCTCACTAGCCCTGCGAAGTCCGAATCTTGCCTCCCGAATCTCTCCCTCACCATCTCCTGTTTGCCCCTGATCGCTCCCGTCTCGTCTGCCGTACACCACCAACTATCTTGCCCGTGGTGCTCCCGTTCTTACTCCTGCTCCTGTCCTCCTCTCCCGGCACACTCACTTGCATACATTTGTTTAGCAACGGCGTCTACCCCTACAACGAGAACTCCCCATACCATCGATCTTAGGCTTCTCGAGTTCATAACTTTTCCCGCGCCGTGGATACCAGGGGGAGGTGCCGCGCGCCAGTTGTATTCCCCCCTACCCTCAATTCATCACCATAATCATCATCATCATCATGGATATTCTACATATCCGTCGCAAGGATACTACGAAAGGTCCACCACTACGGATTCTGTCACTAGGTATGTTGGTCTCTCTCCTCTCCAACTCACAATATATGGTCCAAAAATACACTCAAACTCTTGCGCTACAAAAAACCAACTTACTGACCACGAGAATCCCTTTTTCTAAAAAAAATATATAGATGGCGGTGGTGTCCGTGGCTACTCCATGCTCATCCTCCTCCAAGAACTCATGCACCGCACCTACGTCGAATGCGAAGGTAAAGCCCCCGCACGCAACCAAATTCCCAAACCATGCGACCATTTCGACCTTATTGCCGGCACTGGAACCGGCGGACTCATTGCGCTCATGCTTGGTCGGCTCCGGCTGGATCTGGAGACATGCAAGGATGTATACGTGCGCATGACTAGACGAGTCTTCGAAACCGATAAGACCATTGCCGGCATCCCCTATAGGTCAACTCTCTTCAAAGCCTCGAAGCTGGAAGAGGCCATCCGCCAGTGCGTGTGGGAGCATACAGTCTCCATGGAGGAGGGAAATGATGGTTCCCCCAGGACTCAGAAACCCATCTCTGTCCACGGCCCAGTACTGCGCCCGCGCTCAGCTCACACGCTGCACAGCCGGACCAGTCGGTCGAGCGTCAGTACAACGGGTGCATCACCAGTTCGGTCGCCAGCGAGTTTGCGCGGGTCTCATATTCAAGGCTGGGGGAATGCCGATGCAATACTTTATGATAAGCGGGAAAACAGGACGAAGACGTGGGTTGTCCTTCCTTTTTTTTTTTTTTTTTTTTTTTTTTTTTTTTTTTTTTGGACTGTCTTTATGTATAATGTGTGTATATGTATCTCTGACTGTCTATTAGTGCGGTTGCGGCTGTTTACAAAGGGACCCCGATGGATGGAAATCCGACTCTGCTACGATCGTACGATTCGCGAAAGGAACCCGCGCCGGAATTCAACTGCACGATATGGCAAGCTGGACGGGCAACATCCGCAACAGGGCTTGCATTCAAACCTATTTTAGTAGGACAACATGTCTTCATTGACGAGGGGGCTGGTAAATATAATCCCGCGCCAATTATTCTCGATGAAGCAGCCGTCAATGAATGGCCAGGGAGAGAAGTGGGCCTTTTCGTCAGCGTTGGAACGGGCAAACGACCCTCAGGAACAAATCATATCCAACATGAGTGGTGGGAGGATGTTTTCGCCGATTCCCTGGGCAATTTTGCTGAAGCGCGAAGACGGCTGATTGCGAAAATCGAGGGCTGCGAAAAAATACATCAATACATGCTCAAGGAACATCTCAGAAAACGCAACGTTCCGCTAGAAAATTACGTCCGTCTCAACGTTGAAGTTGGCGTGGGAGAGTTTGGCATGAATGAATGGAATCGCCTGGCGGAAATTAGCACAAGCACCCGGACTTATCTCTCCCGGAACGACGTGCAGAAGATGAATCAGGAGGCGGCTGTCAAGTTGGCCAAGATCCATTTTATTCATCGTAGGCTTGTGGTGGGCGATGGAGGGAGGGACTGGGGTGCTGATTCCAACAGTTTCGAAGAAGGCTTGGAAGATGGAGATGTATTCCAGCGGCAATATCATCGACCGGTCCCTCCTATCCCGGTGTCCATGCCGTCACCACACCCGAATCCGTGCCCTCCACCACCATCCACCATCGAATTCCCAGACGCAGTCGAACTTCCTGGAGAGGATTTTATCCCGTTTTCATTCGTGAATAATAACACGAATAATTCAAACCCACCACCCCTCCCAACCTCCAGCTATCCACAAATAAACCGCACGAGTTCCCAAGAAAAATATACAGTCGTCACCTCCGATGAACACATTCCTCACCCACTCAACTTCAGCCGCAAGACTCCGATCCCGATGCCAACCCCATCCTCGCCCACAACCAACCAACCATCACCCTTCACCTCTCAGACCCGCCTAAACAGCAGCGACCACCGAAATCCCAGTAGTCGCCCACAAAGCAGCTACAACAATCCTTCCGCATCCTCCCCCCGCGTCAGCGCCGAGCTGTTCATAAACCCTCCCCCGCTAGCAGTAACAACAACCCGCCCACCAAGCAGCCACCAAAACCAAACCCAAACTCACCATTCCGTTCGCCTCTCCCATACCCCGCCCCTAAGCCCACCACCCAGCCACCCACCGCCGCCGCTCCCGCCCAAGACACCCATCCCATACCCTGAAGATGGCTATGGGCATGGCTCACCTTCCGCCCCTGGTCCTGGTCCTGGTCCTGGTCCTCCTCGCCCTGGCTCCGGGTACGGGCATGGGCATGGGCATGGGCAGGGGTATGCACCGGCGGTCATGCCAATCCCGCCGCGGGCGCCGAATAGGCCGAATAGTAACTCTTACGGGGGTTTGCAGAGTGGCAATGGGATTGGGATTGGGATTGGGAACGGGAACGGGAACGGGAATGGTGTTGCGAAATTGCCGTATCCTAGTGATGGGCCGCCGCCGTTGGTCAATAAAGGGCGGAAGCCGACGTATAGTCGGCGGTGAAAACGAGGGCGAGTGCGGGGTGAGGCGGGTGTGATATAATAGAATGAGCTTTCCTTTTACCGTTGTCTTCAGTTTTATATTTATATGTATACGTATACATATAATGTGTTTTTTTTGCGTTATGGATATATAATGATGTGATATGATACGCTATGATATGATGTTAATGGGGTTTTGGGTATTGATTTGATATGGAGGTTATTTCATCTTTTTTATCTTATTTTTTTTATTTTTATTTTTTTATTTTTCTTCGCAGATTCATATTCACATATTCACATATCTATATATCCCTATGTCTATTGATTATTTCGGTATGATGATACGCAGGTAGTTATGTTACGGGAGACAGTGGAAAAAATGTCAGGTGGAAACGTGGAAACTGGAACTGACTCTGGCAGTTGGGAATTCATTGACATTTTTAAGAGATAATTTTAATATCTGTGTGCTCAAGAGGTTCAATAATGCATGCAGATATGGAATGAGGATTTTTGTGGCTTCAGAGAGAGAGTCCTTATTAGTTATTAATAACTACGGAGTAGAGTAGCATTATTTAAGCGGGTTCATCGCTCCAGCAACGATCCTTGGAACCCTCAGGGGATTGGATTGCTTGCTTTGTTGTGGACGGGACGGGTTTTGTTTCCATCAAGAATTATTACTTTGGTTTTTTTTTTCCTCTTTTTTTATTATTATTATTATTATTATTATTTAAAAAAAGGTGCTCGAAACGACGAGGATAACGACGATATCCAATAAGTCTCGTCGGGGAAAAACAAAACATACGGCCTACCCGCAGGATTTACATATTTAACGACTCCACGAACTGAAACAAGCTATTTATTTTGCGGGAGAGATCTTTTAAGTAGTAAGTAAGGGAGTGCTTCTATCTTCTTTCTTCCTTTGCATTCAATCTCGGGGTTGGCGTTCATCATTATTGTACTGTAAATGTACATGTACATTATTATTACATACATATCGCAGGTATTTATGTAGATCGCCCCCTGCAACCAACAAAAGCTGCTGCCAACTACTCTTCCAGATCACCGCAGTTGCATGCATTTGGATTGGATTGGATTGGACTGAAGCTCACATAACTAATCAGTGCAGCAAATCATCCTTCATGAATAGATTGGCTCCCAACTCTGACGTATTCTTGCGAATATCCATCCCATCCCATCCCATCCTCCCTCCCCCTTGGTTTCTCTCCCTCCAACCGCCCCAATCCTCTTTCCGCCGAGAGATAGAGTGAGCGTGGAACCCAAATACCGAACAAACAGCGCTGAGGAACAATGGTTTGAGATCTAGAAACGACTTGCTTTCTCTCTCTCTCTCCCTTCTCTATCTCTCACCATCGCGTGGTCCTCGACATCACTCCTTGCCGGACAATTAATACAGTACTTTCCCCCTTACAATCCGCCAACCCCCCTCCCCTCCTCCAGTGTGGACAATACCCCGCGCATATACCTATACATAGATACCATGCTTGATTCCGCAGATGTCCACTCAATCTATGCACGGTCTGGCGGTGGTGTGCCGGGGGGTCCGGAAGGTAGGCCGCCCGCCTTCAAGGCCGTTGGTATCTCCCTGGCTGTCGGTTCGGGGCTCTTCATCGGGGTCTCCTTTGTGATAAAGAAGGTGGGCCTGCTCAAGGCGAACGCGAAGTATAATGAGGACCCTGGTGAAGGGATGGGGTATTTGAAGGTGTGGTGGTGGTGGGTAGGGATGGCGTTGTAAGTCTTTGTTCTTTGTTGTTGCACCATCTCACCCCCAATATATGCGTACTTATAAATATATATATATATATATATGCGTGTATGGTCATTAAACAAGACTAACCAAATCAGAATGATCATCGGAGAAATCTTCAATTTTGTCGCCTATGCCTTCGTCGACGCAATTCTAGTGACACCCCTTGGCGCCCTCTCCGTCGTGGTCACCACCATCCTCTCCGCCATCTTTCTCAAGGAACGCCTGAGTTTCGTGGGCAAAGTCGGCTGCTTCAATTGCATCATTGGCTCCGTCATCATCGCCATGAATGCCCCCACACAGTCATCTGTCGCTACTATCCAAGACATGCAACGCTTCGTCATCTCCCCCGGTTTCCTCACCTGGGCAGGTCTCATCATTGTGGGATGCACGTTTATTGCGCTCTGGGCAGGGCCCCGCTACGGCAACAGGAGCATGTTTGTCTACATCAGCATCTGCAGCCTCGTTGGTGGTCTGAGTGTGGTCGCCACTCAGGGTCTGGGAGCGGCTATCATATCTCAGATCCAGGGGATATCGCAGTTCAAGGAGTGGTTTCTGTATGTTTTGCTGGTTTTTGTTATTGCTACGTTGTTGACTGAGATTATTTATTTAAATGTAAGTCCATATCATATCCGTACATGTACACTGCACCGTCCCCTACCAACACCCCGCGCGATCTGCAAAACCTAATCAGGTAACAATTTCTGATTCGGATTTTTCGTGACAGAAAGCGTTGAATATTTTTAATGCGGCGTTGGTTACCCCTACATACTATGTCTTTTTTACAAGTTCCACGATCATTACATCTGCAATTCTATTCCAGGGATTCAAGGGGACTGCTATTAGCATTACTACCATTATCATGGGTTTTCTTCAGATTTGTTCTGGCGTTGTCTTGTTACAGCTCTCGAAATCGGCCAAGGATGTTCCGGATACTGCCATTTTCAAAGGAGATCTGGATCAGGTGCGCGAAGTTGCTGAGCAGGAACAGCCAGAGACTGAACCCAAGGCCGATGCAATTCGTGGCACAGCCGCTATTATTCGTCGGATATCGGGTGCAAGACAGAGGATGGAAGCGGAGGAGGCAAGGAGATATTACGAGGAGAGAAGACTTGATGAGTTGGAGCCGCCGCGAGAAGGGGAAGTGATTGAGTGGGACGGACTCCGCCGACGCAGGACTATCGTCGGAGAAAGTCCCATGAGTACACCATCACGCCGAGCAACGAATCGCCATCCGCCTCTGGGGATGTCGAAATTCCCTGATTTTGTTGATGAGGAGCTCCCTCACCACAGGCCCAGCACGAAGGGAAGTAGTAAGAGTTCGTTCTTTGCTCGCAGCCGTGCATCCAGCGGGTTGCATCCACATTGGAGACCGAACCATTCTTCCCAGGGGATGCACGGCGCGATGTCACCCGTGCTAACTACGATCACGAGTGAAACGGATGAAAAAAGTGGTTCACATTCTGGCATGGCTGAAGCTCAGCCTTCCGGCTCCCTTGAGGAAGCCTTCCAACATAACCATCGCCGGAACCGCAGCGGAACCGCGCAGACGATTCAATGGGCAAATAGTGTCAAATCCGGTGGCTCTTCCAACCCACACTCGCCCAACCGCAGTAGTACTCTTCCAGCAAATTCCCCACATCATGGCCCGAGTCGCCAGTTTTCATTCCATAACTTGTTCAATCGACGAATGTCTAACGAGCCACCGCACAGCGGTGGTGGTAGTCGCAACATGTCAGAAAATCCCACTTCACCAGGAAACCGGCTGTTTGGGTTTGCTAACCTTTCGTCTCGGAATACTCACAATCACCATCATCATCAAAACGAGCAAAAACGTAATATGATGAGAGAAGGCACTGAGGAAGAAACTCTCGGCCTTGTGAAAGGGGATAACGCCCAATTGAAGGGGCAACGGCATCTCCGTGACTCTTCGCCATCGCCTACCCCTACGACTCCAACTTTTAACGAGGAAGCGATTCAAAATGACATGCTCCAGGTGAACTATCAGCAACGCCCCAGCCGATCACCATCATCGTCAAGTGTTTCTTCCACCGAATCAAGCACTGAATATAAACCACACCACACTCGAGTACCCTCGCGAGACAGAGAAGCAGAGGCGGCAGCTACAGCTTCTTCTTCTTCTTCTTCTTCAAAATACCCAAAAACCCGCCACCACCACAGACGTTCCTCCCCTCCGCCCTCGTCCCAACTACCAAAATACGACGGCGCGATTGCAGATATCAAACCGCCCTCCCCACCACCCCATTCACACCCCACCCCGCATCTCCCGTCCCACTCAACAACCTTCCCAACGACAGCAACAACAGCAGCAGCAGCAGCAGCACAACTCCGTCAACACCAACCACCCCACCACCCCCTCCCCTCCCTCCCCACCGAATCACATCCTAGACACCCATACGCATTCCCAAACACTCCCGAAAGGTCTCTACCCACCACCTCCTCCACACCACCCTCCTCTTCCTCCCGTACCCGCGCCCCGCGCCCGCGCCAGCAGGGAACACCCCAACCTTACCCCCGCCACAACTCATCCCTCTACCAGCGTCATCCGCGACGTCTCTCGCGTCAAGCCTCAGCGCGGAAAATGAGAGGCGGGAGAGGCGGGAGAGGAGGATGCGGCAGGGGAGGAGGGGGTCTAGTGTTGCGGCTGCTTCTGTGGCGGAGCAAAGGAGAGGGAATGGGAGAGGGAAAGCGGGGAGTGATGGTGGTGGGGATAATGATTATGATGATATATGAATTATGTGGGGATGTGGATGGGGGTGGCGGAGAGAGTTGGGGAGATAAGCGGGGTGAGATTGATGTTGGGAGGAGGTGAAGCCCAGGTGGCGATGGGAGTTTTCTTACAATACAGATCCTTCCACCACCACCACCCCCTACATGCTTTTTCTCGCCTGAATGGGTAGTTGGTGGTGGTTCGTATACTTTGCTTTTTTTTTATCTTGCTTCTCTTTCCCCCTTTTCTCCTTCCCTTTTCTTCCTCGCATTGTTTAATGCCTGCATATATTTCCCTATCTCCCTGTGTAAAGGGGGATACATCCGTATGTATAGAATAGATGGGTGGAGTGAGTTGAGTTGTTTCATTATTTTATTTTTGCATGTTTTATGGTCTGTTGTTCCCTTTTTTTTTTTTTTTTTTTTTTTTTTTTTTTTTTTTTTTTTTTTTTTTTTTTTCATAATGATAGATAGAATGGTGAGAGGAACTTATCTCATGTACAGATAGATAGATGCATGCATGCATGCACGGGAAACATCCCAAGTCACAAGAGGGAGATGTGTATGTATATATATATATATATAAGCAGAAGAAATATAGTAGTAACAGTCTCATTTTTCTCACTCACTCACTAGTTAAATGCAGTTAAGTTAATATAAGAGGCCAGGAAGGCTGGCCTTGCTATTCTTTTATTATTCTCATTCTTAAAAATCTTCCCTTCAGATTGGTTGATTGATTCTAGTTCCATGGTTAAATTTAGTCACTACGGAGTACATTTAACTATAGTTAGTTAGAAGAGTGTTGTGTCTTTTGAAGATATTTCATTTCATTTTAATTTTGTCGGGAAATATATCTGCTACTCCAGAGTAGTTACAGAGTTACAATGACGGACACAATCAATGCATTCATTGATGGGTGGGTGGAAAAAAAAAGAAAGAAAGAAAGAAAGAAAAAAAAAAAAAAGGAGGCCGGGGGAGGAAGATAGAGAGAGATTCCTTCCAGACTCCTTCCTCTATTCCCCCCCCCCCCCCCCAAAAACCGCCCCGGGCGTCGGGGTACACGAGACACAGCACGTTCACGATTGTACTATACATTACAGTTGTACATGTACATGTACATGTGCAGTATGGGGATGAAAGAAAGAAAGTGAGCGGATACTATATGGTTTAAAAATTTGAAGACATGATTGAGAAGGTTTATAAAAAAGGTAACTACTAACTATAATTTACCTTAACAATCCACCACATGAGATCTTAATAATTCTTCTTTTTCTTCACTTGATAGAATCATTCATATATGTGCAGCTGAACTGACTCTATTAACAACATCTCTAATATCACTAGTTATCATTATATTTATTTAAGAATTGAGATTAGGCATCTGTGAGCAAGATCAGTCACACAAGCATACACATACACACATGCGCGCTCATATAAAAAAACTAGTTGAAACAAGAAAGAGAGCACACACAAGGTTTAGAAAAAAGAAGATATAATAATAATATTTAGATAATTTCCAAGGAGATTCGTGTCATAACAGTCATTAAACGGAAAAACAGAGCAAAACAGGAAGAAATAGGAAATAAGTAATGGGTTGTTTTTTTTTATCAAGATGGAAAGAAAAGGAAAGGAAATTAGAGGACAATCAAACCATAAGAAACAACAAAAAGCCACATTGACATAACACCTAATAAGGTGAGATCATTCATTTCATAAGATGTTTGGGGAGTTTTTTTCTTTCTTGAGAGGTGAGGTGTCTGGAGCACAAAACAGAACGAAGAAACAATAACCTGAGGCTTAAATAGGCCGACAGGCTGACCAGACGGATAGACAGACACAAAAATAATCAGGACGGAATAAATAGTTAATTAAGCGAAAAAAAAAAAAAGCAAAGAGCATGATTAGGCGAACAGGATTTTAAAGACAGAAAGATTTAAGCCAAAAAATGCACATAAAATAAGATAAAGCCTAAATGTTTTAAAAGAGTAAAAAATAAAATAAAAGTGGAAATAAAGTAAAAGTAGAAAAACCAGCGGCCATTTAACTGTGTGAGAAGAGGGGTTATTCTTTCTCCTTTTCGTTCCTTTTTCTTAGTCCTTTTTTTCCGATGTTTTCTTTTTTTTTTTTCCTGCTTTTTTCACGTGTTCTTTACAGACGAAGCATAACACAGTCCTATTCTGCCAAGACGTGACCCAGGACAAGGAGAGCGAGGAGAGTGAGAATTGAGGGTGAGAGTGGGGGAATTAAAACGCCTGGAAACGGGAGTCGTGGAAAGGAGACGACGGCGAAATCAAGATAAAACGGAAGGCCGCGTACAGGAAGGGAAAGGGTAAACATGCGAAGGAGTAGGACCGCATTTCGACGAAAGCCATATCCCCACCCCCAAGGTAGGTTAGATTGAACGCTATATCCATCTCTGTACCATATCTGGTTAGAGAAGAATCTTGGGTAAAGCTGATCGGTGCTACTCAGGCGGATAAAGATTTGGTGTGGGCAAATTCCGAATTCCGTGTACACACAACCGGCGCAGAAAAAAAAAAAAAAAAGCAAAGGGGACACAAAACAAATAATCATTCGCTGCGTAAAGTGTCGTAACTCTTTTTTCTCTTTTCAAAAACGCATTTCATGATAGATAGATAGACACAAAGCAAATCATTCCAGCAAAGCGTTTTTGATTCGTACAAAATTAAGAAAAATAAAGTAAAAGGAGAATCATGGCGCTTTGTCTGGTTCAAATGAAG